CTCTGATCTATAATATCTTTTTCCTTAAAATGAATATAAATACATTTTAGAATTGTTGTGGAGATAAAACATACTGTCTTTAAAATATCTAGTCAAATGCTTGCCATGTACCAGATAATCACAGCAGGTACAAATTAATATTAGTGGGGATTTTTTGTTAATTTTTTGTTGTTGTTGTTTTCTATAGAGAGTTTTTGTCAGGAGTGGGGGAAGCTGATTTATTTGCCCCTACTTAACATCAGAATTTGATAACTCTTGTTGTGATGTTTCCCAGTATAGCATTCTTGCTGATTTAAGGTTTGCCTATTAGGGCAAGGCCTTCCAGAAATCCCTGATCTTATATTTTCCTCTTTCTCTGACATCCTTTATCAAAACCAGACCCCAGTGATTTGTTCAAGAGGATTTGTGAAAGTAACTCACACTAAGTTGTAGTTATCATCTACAATGTTCTTCGTAAGCACTATAAGTGATGATTTTATTTCATCAAATGATAATTCCTTCTCCAGCATAATTTTTATAACATAGTGATGGATCCATTAGAAAAATACATTTTGTGCTGCCTGGTAGCCCTTCCTAACATTTTTACTTAATGGGTGGAGGATAAGATTATGATATGTTATAACCTTTATTCTTTAGTCCTTAAAATTCTTAGTTCTTATTTTTTTTTTGTAACAATAAAGTTCATTTGTTGATGATCCGATAACCAATGAAGGGACATCATGAATTTTGATAATGTTAAATGCGCATTGGGCTTATATGAGTTTATGTGGTCTCTAAATGCCTTCATAGTGATAAGTCAAATGCTTTAAATAGGGATATGTTTGGTAGCCCTTTCACTCTTAGAACCCAAGTAAATGCGTAGAAAATTGAATAAATCTGAAGTCTACATAGTATTATCAGCTATAGTTTATAAAGTACTCATCATTTTTTACACATTATGCTAAAACTGCTAGATGTACTTTCTAATATAATCAAAAAGATGATTCTACTAATTAAGTACTAGCATAGTTTTTTCTTAACATAGGATAATGGTGAATTTAGGGTAGCTTAGTTACTTGCCCAAGTGATTCAGCACAGCAGTGATGGAGTCAGAAATTATATCTGAATTATTCTTGCCCAGAGTTTATGTTCTTAATCCCTGTATTACATTGCTTTTCAAAGTTATCCTTGGATGAGATATTACTAAAGACCAAAAATATTGCCTCTATTGATCTAATCTATCTACCAAATATAAGTAATAAATTTAATCACGTATTAAAGAAAATAATGTATTCAGTTCTACACATGATTTAAATTGCGAAGTAAGAGTTAGCTTTTTTCAAATCCTAAATTTATCAAAGAACATCAGACTTTTCTAGTTTGATGTAAAAGATGTGTTAGGTTTCTTCCTGTGACTTTCAGAATGGAAAGATGAGTCGTTTATCCATTTAATACATAAAATACCTAATGTGTCAATATAATGCCAAATAACCTGATCCAAAGTGTAAGTTAGCCACACATTTTCATTAAACTGCATTTAAAAAACTGAATTAGAAGCCTTGTGAGAATTAGAAAGCATTGATCAGAAACTATTATGAATAAATTACTCTGCCTAACCATATAGTTTGACTAAAATGGCTACGTGAGAGTGAGAGTGAATTTATTCTTAATATCAGCTCAAGATTTAAGAAGAGTAGAAAATAGAAAGGTTTCATTTGAATTTAATAGTCTCTCTCTCTCTCTCTCTCTCTGTCTCTGTCTCTCTCTCTCTCTCTCTCAGACACACACACACACACAAAATAACACACAATGTTCAAAGGATGGAATGGTTTGGCAGAAGAGACTCCGATTAATTCTTTGTGGGTGAAGAAAATTAGGGGGTCTTTTAAAAAGGAAGTCATGGATGCCTAGTATATATTAATAAAAGAGTTAGTCATTTTTCAGGCAAAGAAATTGGAAGAAGGCATTTGGCAGCAATAGCCTTTACCCTATAAGGTAAATTGAGGGCATACAGTTAACTAGGTGGTTGCTAACTTAATCTAGATGCCTATATAAAATTCACAGGTATTACAAAATATCTGGATCCCTTGAAACTTCATGTGTGTTTAATTTGGTGAGTTTGCTTCATGGGTGTTACATTTATTTCCACAATTTCTTTATTCCTCTTTCCTTATGAAGGAGATGAAACTGGTATTATAATAAGAACAGCATAAATTTATGTACTGAAAAACTGTACAGTTGAGTGGATTCTACTTTCAGCAGTTGCAGCCATAAGTGACTGAAGATACTCTTTATGGGAACTGTGAGTTCAGAGGAATTAAGAAGCATTCCTATTTTTAAATATTCAAAATATAGATAATGTTTAGAAGTTGACTCAGAATATGTATATTCCTTTTCATGTACACAAATTTACTTATACATGCATGCCTATTAAGCCAAAACTATTATTTTGGTGTGGTCTTATTAATATATACAAATAGAAAATTGATGACATAGGTATAGTTATACTACTTACATGTGTGTTTTAGGTGCTTGCACATATATTCAGTAAATCCCCAAGTGACCTTGAACAAGTTGTTTAGTGTCTTAAATATATTGTCTCTCGTCATTTTTCAAAAGGGTTGCCAACAATTCCTGTTCTGTATACTTAATAAGAATCCTCTACTGAGGATCACAGAGCATAATGATACTGTAATGATAATAGTTAATATGTATGGAGCACTTACAATCCATGCTTAATTCTGTTTTAGGTGATTCATGCACACTATCTCATTTAATTCCTTCATCGACTCTATAAGTTAGGTGCTACTTTTGACCCATCCTACAGATGAGGAAGATAAGGCACAGACTGGCGTGAATTGCACAAGACCCCTCAGCCCACAAGAGATGGAGGCCGGCGTGTAATGCAGGCGGTCAGATGGCAGATCCTGGGTGCTTCACCTTCAGTTGATCAATTATGTGTCATTCTGTTGCCGACAGAGAAACTCACTGTGAATGTCATTTGTTGTCATAATAATCACTTCTAAAAGTCCCCAAAACATTTCTATTTGCAGCAGAACTTTCTAAACTGGTACCTGGAGCACATGGAAGGGAACTCTGTAGCCTATTCTGTCCACTCCTTTTCCTGCTACTTTTGACAAACCAGAACTACGTGACTTGACTTCTGTCTCTTCTTTCCAGGTCCATTTTTCCTTTGCCCCTTGACTTGGTATTTTATGTAATTTAGTTGACTAGTTCATAGAATCATTTGATTTGAGAAACCCTGATTTAAATCAAAGTTTATGAAAGCTCTCTAAAAAATACTACATGTGAGTCAGTATTATATGCAAAAGGACATTTTACATGATCTATTATTTTTTCCTGACCTGCAACTATTTGTTTTTTTAATGTCTTCTTGAGCAAGATTCTCCACTCCCTCAGGAATCAATCTGTTTCCTTTATTGCAACTTTCCTTGGACTGTACGCTCTATGTGAGAATCAAGAATGTTTGTTATCTTTACCGGCGTATGCTGAGAATCTGGTACATACTAGAATATAAAAAAGGTAATTTTGAAAAGCAGAAGAAACAAAAAAAAAATAATAAAAGGAAGGAAAAGAATGAAAAAATGAGTGGATGAATAATTGAAAGCTGCTTCTTGCTATTTTAACTCTGCCTACTTAAGGTTTCTTCATTACCCCATGTATCTCTGCATTGCTTCTCTTAAGTTCTTAAACTGCTCAGAGTAGAAGTCAGTTAACCAAACATATACAGGATTGCCTGTGTGTAAACTAGGGGCAAACAGGCACAAGAAGGGTCCTAGGAAACTCTCAATAACTAGATTACTAACTTTAACTTATCTTGATACTTTTTATTATTATTATTTCCCTGAAATATTTCTTTTTAGAGAAATGAATCCAGATAAATGAAGCATCACTGTATGTTATTAGGACTATTAATAATAGACACTATTTCTGGATTATCCCTTATGTGTAGAAATTGTCTTAAATTCTTTGTTTCTTTGTATACATTCTTTTTTTTGTTTGTTTGTTTTGGAGAGAGTCTCACTCTGTTGCCCAGGCTAGAGGGCAGTGGTGCGATCACAGTTCACTGCAATCTCCAACTCCCAGGCTCAAGTGATCATACTGGTTCAGCCCCCTGAGTTCCTACAACAAAAGATGTGTGTCAGCAAGCCCTGCTAATTTTTTTAAATTCTTTGCAAGACCTCCCTATCTTGCCCAGGATTGTCTTGAAATCCTGGCCTCAAGCAATCCTCCTGCCTCAGCCTCCCAATGTGCTGGGATTACACATGTGAGTCACCATGCCCCACCTGCATTTTTTCTTTTAACCTTTAAAACTCCTCACAAAATTGGTTCTTTGATTATTCTCATTTTACACATAACAAAACCATCCCAGATCACACAGGGTGGAAGTGGTGAAGCTGAGAGAATTAGTAATTACTGTTCCTCGTGACTACTTTTATTGTTGGTGTGTGCAGTCTTTGTTCTTTTGGGTGTCAGGGTGTCTAAGCACTAGAAGGTTGCCCCAGGGTGATAACAGAAGCACAAGCTGCTGTTCCTGCCAGTACTTAGAGATTGGTCCGGTGTCACATGAAGCAATGACCTTCATTGCTATTTACTTGACTGCTGCATCATGCTGCTTTGTTGTTGTGTGTAGAACAAAATAAGAATTGAATATTTTTGAAGTAGGTGAGATATGAATAAGGCTTTGAAGAATGAATAGGGTTTGAAATGATTATGAATGGGCAAAAGAGCATTCCTTTTTAGAAGAATCAAAAGTATCTGTTTAACTCTGGTCAGTATTTGAATTTAATAGTCTTATCTCATGAGAATATTGTCTCCTAATCAGGAGAAAAAAAATTCCATTTGTAGTGTAGATCAGCTACTTGAGACACAATCTCAGACCAAGATTTCTCCATATTTTCTTATGTCTTGGATTTCCAAAACTCTGACATAATAATAGGGCATTTGATTTTGTCTTCAAGTGAGTGAATAGTTATATGAGAGGAAGGTGACCTGAAGAAATGGATTCCATAAAAACGAACTTCACTGTGACTGAATTTGTTTTCCTGGGTCTCTCATCTCAGCCAAAGATGCAGCTTATTCTTTTTGTTATGTTCTTGCTCTTTTATTTATTAACAGTATCTGGGAATATTATCATCATTACTATTATCCAGATAGAACCTCGTCTCCAAACCCCCATGTACTTCTTCCTCACTAATTTGTCCTTCCTGGACATTTGCTACACGTCCACCAATGTCCCACAAATGCTGTCCAACATGGTGGGGAAAAAGAATACCATCCCATTCTCTGGCTGTGCTACTCAGATGTACTTCTCCCTCTCCTTTGGAATGATTGAGTGTGTTCTTCTCGGTGTCATGGCTTATGACAGATATGTGGCCATTTGTCATCCTCTTCATTACACTGTCATTATGGATCGTAACACCTGTGTCCAACTAGCACTCATTTCCTGGTCCAGTAGTTTCCTGAGTTCCATGGTTATCAATGTCCTCACCTTGAGTTTGCCCTACTGTGGGCCCAATACCCTGAATCACTTTTTCTGTGAGGTGCCTTCTGTCCTGAGGCTGGCTTGCACAGATACCTCACTCATTGAACTCGTTGTTTTTATCTTCAGCATCATCATCGTCTTCATCCCTTTCCTACTCATTGTTGTTTCATATGCTCGGATCCTTCAGTCTGTTCTCAGGATGCGGTCTGCTTCTGGCAGGTACAAGGCACTATCCACCTGTGCCTCCCACTTGACAGTGGTAGCATTATTTTATGGGACTGCCATCTTCATGTACATGAGACCTCAGTCGAAGTCCTCCCGGGCTGGAGGCAAGATCATTGCAGTGTTCTACACAGTGGTCACACCCATGCTCAACCCCTTGATTTACAGCCTAAGGAACCAGGATGTGAAAGGAGCTTTAAGAAGAGCTATCACGAAACAGAGGACATGAGAGCTATTAATGGGATACTAACCTTCGCTGTTAATTACCTTATGAATATGAAGTGGGAGAGTAAAAACAAATGGCTTTGGCACTCAATACCTGTCCTGCCACTCATAAAAGTGACATAAATCCAGAGGCAACCTGAACACAAAAAGTTATATCTTCCAGGGTCACAAGCAGAGCTATAATGTGTAAAAACAACTCCCTTCATTGAATGGCGACTATTTTTTTTTTATTTCCAGATATTCCAAGGGTACAAATTTTAGGTTATGTATATTTCCCTTGCCTCACCTGAGTCAGAGCTTCAAGTGTGTCCATCCCCCCGACGGTGCACACTGCACCCATTAGGTGTGTATAGACCCATTCCCTCCTCCCCCCTCCCATCTGCCTGACACCCAATGTATGTCATTACTCTATGTGCACTTAAATGTTAATCAGTTAATAAAATGGCTACTATTTTGTTACTCACTGAAAAAAAAAAACTTATTTCTTTAAAATCACAGGCTAACAAAAATTTTAAAAAATAAATAAAATCACAGGTATCTGAAATACATTGTTTGAAATTATATCAGTAAGATAAAAGATAGTTCTTCTACCAATATTTATTTATTTACTTTTCTTTCCTTATATCTTTATTCTATAAACTATTTTCTTTTTTTTTATTTCAGAATGTTATGGGGGTACAAATGTTTAGGTTACATATGTTGCTTTTTCCCCGCCTGAGTCAGAGCTTTAAGTGTGTCCATCCCCCAGACAGTGCCCACCGCACCCATTAGATGTGAATATAATGAAACTATATTTAGAATGGGAAGAAGACAATTGTAATTTCAAGCTTCTAATTTAGCTATTAATGTGGGAAGTCATTTCTATGGGCCTTCTTTTAAAAATGAAATGGTTGTCAGATTATATAATCTCTAAGTATCTTTCTATGATGTGTCTATCAACATCATCACCATATCTATTATCTCTGAAAATAGGTTTACTATAAACTTGGCAAAATTTATTCTGAAATGGGTTTTTAATTTTCATTTTTTGGACATAACTTGTTTATTTTAATAATGATAATGCAGTGATGAAAGGTTTTAATATCATGACTATTGGTATAGAGGGTATAATAACCATTACTATCATACACCATGTTACCATTTTTCCTAATCTATATCTTTCCTCTTGAAACATGAAAACATCATTTAATACCACAATTATAAAGTATAAGGATTATAAAATGGTGAAAGGGAAATATTAATAATTAATACTAATTGTGCCTCATTGATATCACTCTTTCAACATAACCTGAAATCTGAAATGCTTCTTTGGATGTCATGTCCTATTTTGCCTCTTTTCTTCTACCTATTCATGTTATGGTGACTTCTCTAGCTCACTTGGCCTTGCAAAGATTTAACTCACCATAGTCATAGACAAATGTAGCTCTTTCAATGGGTGCTTCATAACATAATTTTGTATAAATCCTGATTAATGAATCTAATCCAATCACCAGGCTAAAGATAGCCACAAATCTAGTCCTTTATAGAAGTTCCCCAAACTTTTTCCCCAAATCTCATCATGTATGCCACTTTTTATAGTGCTATACACAACTCTAGAAAATACTGGAGTAGAAATCAGCAGAAACTAGCTCCAGTTTCAGCTCTACATGCAGAAGCTAAGAGCACATCTGCATGCCATTTAAACTTTCATGACTCCAGTTTCATAAGGTGAAGAAATAGGTTACTAATACTCCCCTATGAATCTTAAAGAACTCATATATATATACATATATAAAACTCATATATATATGTATATATATATATATATAAAAGTTCTAATATATATATATATATATATATAGTAGATTTCCTGAGACCTGAAATAAGATTTAAGTTTCAGTAGTTGTTCTCCAGCCCAATAAGGTATGGTCATTCATTTGTTCAATGAACATTTGTTGCTCACTTCATACATTCCAATACTTGAGGATAAAAAAATGAGCCTTTCTTAAAGTCTCACAGTCTACCAAGAGAGTCATCATATTAAGGTATATATGTTTTAGTGTTATAGTAGAATTGCATAGATAGTACTTCTCTAGAACATTGGAGATCAACCACTTATTAAACCTAGACTTGTTTCAATACACTACATCAGCTTTTCATATAGTTTAACATCTGAACAAGAGAGTTTTTGTGAGTGAAGTGTAGCACTACTGATACCTCCTTCAGGACAATAGTCAAAAACCAAAACTGCTTTGAGCAAGAGGGACAACTGGCTACAATAACATTATTTTCTTTAGTCCTCATAGAAACCCCATTCTGTAGGTGTCATTGGCACCATTTTGCAGATGAGAAAACACTGGAGGGTGTTTCTAAAAATGATTTATAAAAGCATTGATTCTATAAATTGATTGATTTGTGACATGAAACAGAAGTAGGCATGTTCCAGGTGGGTCTGTGGATTTTGGAGCAAAAGGATTAGCATAAGCAAAAGTATACACAGGGGGAAATGCATGGTATACTTAGATCGCTGTGACTTGAACTTCTAGGAGGTGAGATATGGAAGGGAATGGCTGAGGATGAAGCTGAAAATGTGGAATTTCCTATTTCACCTGTGGCTGCCATTCATGGTGTTGCTTCATCATGGGCTCTGGTCTAGTCTCCTAAAGTCAGGTCTGGTGAAGAAGCTTGCTGTCCTCATTAACACTTCATTTAACAGAGTTAAACACGCAGGTACCAACATGGCTGCTTCCACAGTCCCCCTTGTGGCTGCACAGTTTTGTAGTGCATGTAGATGTTTAAAGCAGTGCAGCCAAAAACATTTCTTATTACTTGTTTCTTCACACAAATATCCTTTAAGTGTCTATTATGAGCTTATTATTATGATGGGAAAAACCCAGATGCATCTTATACAGTGCCTTGCTTCAAAACATTTACACATGATTACAATACTCACACACAATCATGAGTTACAAATTGAGGGATTTTGCTATTCAGAAGAGAGTGTTTTCTACCAGCCTAGTAGATTGGAGAAAGAGGAATTTCTGAGGAATGGTATGTAAGCTGGTCTTTAAAGGAAGAGTTTGGACTTCCTGAGTCATGAAGTTGAGACTGTCAAAGGAGAATGAAGTAGAGGATGTGGAAGTAGTGGATGAGGAAAAGCAGAATAATACCAAACAGATGGTTTAGAAAGAAGTTCTGAAATACAAAGAAAAGGACTTTGGCAATTTTGTATTTCTAAATTTAGGCGACAGGGCTATTTATGAGATCCTTTGGGAAACTGAGACCCTAATAATTTCAGGTATCCTCTCCAACATAGAGATTGAAGGCAGGGACTTCAGGCTAAATTCTTCCCTTGGCGTAAAACCAGACATGGGGCTAAATGTAAGAGTTTTATTCAAGCCCCATTAAGAAAAGCACACCATCTGTGCCTGTAAACCTGATTCAAGTAGCCAGAGCCTACTCAGATTTATAATACCAGCCTAATGATTATGTTGCTGTACTTGTTTCTTGAAGTTTGCTCTGCTAATGGATACGTGATAGAAATATCTGTTCCCCAAGTGATAATCTCCCACATACTTATATTGATGCCAGATCAGTGGGCTACATTTCAGCTTCATCACTAAACCCTCCTACTGGGTACTCAGCCCTAATGGCCCATGGACATGCCCCACTGTTTCCAGCCCCTTTGCCTATATTTACTGTTTTCTCCCTCTCGTACTCCCTACCTCATTTTGCTTCTTTCTTTAGATTCTGGTCCATGATTTAAAGACAACTCAATGCCCCCTTCTCCATAATGCCTACCCTTGTCTCCCAAGAGGATGTGCTATCTTTCTAGGATCAGTTACCAAAGCACTTTGCAATCTTCCTTTTTTTCTTTTTTCTTTCTGTCTTTTTTTTTCTTTTTTGGTGTTATTTTTTCCTGTAATACAGAGTATTTGCATTCCTCTTATCTCCCTATAGGTGTAAACTCCAGGCGGTCAGGTATATATATCTTATATTGTCCACCAGGTCTTAAGTACAGATCGTTTAGAAACTTCTCACCTGAAGTCATAAAGCTGGAGAGTAGAGAAAGCAGAATTCAATCTCAGTTTTATCTCACTCTGACATCTCTGCTCTTAACCATTTCTGCATCAGTTTTTGCCAGAGCCCCTGGTACAGGGATTATCAACTCTTTGCTGATTTTAGGAAACAAATTCATATGATTATGCAGCCTGTTATAGAGACTATGATTGGCATGTTTACCATTGTTTGATTTTATTACTGGAAAAGATTTTTAATATGTGAAAGAGAAGTCAGGACTTTTCAAACATAATGAATTTATTTGTCTCTTATTTGGGCACACTAAGAGGATAGATAAGGCATAAAAATAGTCCTCATTTTATTGATGAATAGACTAAAGTTCAGAGACCTTACAGGATTTATTTAAGACAATAATTGGTGGAACTGGGACTAAGACCAAGATAATCGAAATTTTATCCATTTTTATCTTGTCATTTTTAGGTTTATCTCAATACTTCTAACAATTACGTGGAAAATAAAACACTTAGTTCCTTTATGATGTTATATCACATTGATGGCATAATTATATATAGTTAAGATATAACTGAAGGAAAAATAGAAGGAATTAATGTTTATTAAATATTTTATGTGACAGATTTACAGAGATTACAGCATACCCTTTGAAAAATGCTAAAAGGTGAGCATTATTATTCACATTGGTAGATGTAGAAATCAAGGCTTAAAGAGATAAGTAAATTGCCCAAAATCACATAGTTAAAAATTAGCAGAACCTATGTGAGGAATATTTCCTAAGTAGTCCAAGACAGGAAAGTTTGTCAGAAATTAGTGAGAAGTTCAGCCTTGAATCCATTTTTTTATTCTATTACTTAACTTTGATATGTCTGTTGAGGTATCTGAGATTTAGTTTTATACTTTTTAAAATGAGGACAATGACTATCTCTAATGATTACTATAAAACCTCTATGAGATTTAAAGTTCTTTTTCTATTGAGTGAATACAAGAAACAAGAATAAAAGGTAATCCTTTAGCAACAAGGTCACTGATGAGAAATTTAGAAAGGGAATTCAAAGATCTTCCTAATTCTAAGGCAACTGCTTTTTCAATTATAACCTACATTAATATTTTAGTTAATGGGATAGGAAAGTCCTATTTCTTTAAAATATCACACAGTATATATGATTTACACATTTTAAGTATAAAGAAAGATACATCTCTAGACTGTTTCTGGACTGCCAAATCTACATGTGTCCATTAGCCATAGGCTGTTCTTTCTGCATATGTGACACCAAGGATGTTTTGGAAATTCATGAAATACCTGAGTAAATTTACACCAGATCATTTCCAACTCAGGTGCAAAAGCACCAGTAGGAAGCCTGGTAAATCCCTAAAACTACTAGGTGCCTTTTCATGATGAATGAGGCTGCTCTTCTCTTTAGGGCAACCATTGTGTTTCCGAGGCCTTTAACTACATTGCATTGGAGGAAGGGTTGAGATAAAGAGATTAATGATTGTAAATATTTAAAACTGATAGTGTGATGAAATTTCAGCACCTCTAAGAAAAAGTTAGCTTTTCCCATATTTCAATCTGCTACCTTTACTTGCTGCTGCTACCTGGCAGTCTTTTTTTTTTTTTTTAAGATTCTTTTTTTATTTCAGCATATTATGGGGGTACAGATTTTAAGGTTTCAATAAACGCCCTTTCTTTCCCCTCTCCCCCCACAAGTCTGAGTTTCCAGCATGACCATACCCAGATGGTGCACATCTCACTCATTATGTATGTATATACCCACCCCCCTCACCTGCCCAATACCCTATTACTGTAGTACCTATGTGTCCACTTAGGTGCTGCTCAGTTAATACCAGTTTGCTGGTGAGTATATGTGGTACTTGTTTCTCCATTCTTGGGATACTTCACTTAGTACTATGGGTTCCAGCTCTAACCAGGTTAATACAAAGTGTGCTATATCACCGTTGTTTCTTAGAGCTGAATAGTACTCCATGGTATACATATACCACATTTTATTAATCCATTCTTGGATTGATGGGCACTTGGGCTGTTTCCACAGCCTTGCAATTATGAATTGTGCTGCTATAAACATTCGAGTGCAGGTGTCTTTTTTGTAGAGTGTCATTGAATCTTTTGGGTAGATGTCCAGTAATGGGATTGCTGGATCAATGGTAGATTCACTTATATCCCTTTAAGGTATTTCCATATTGCTTTCCACAGAGGCTGAACTAGTTTGCAGTCCCACCAGCAGTGTAGGAATGTTCTTCTCTCTCCGTATCCACACCAGCATTTATTGTTTGGGGACTTTTTGATAAAGGCCATTCTCACTGGAGTTAAATGATATCTTATTGTGGTTTTGATTTGCATTTCTCTGATGATTAGAGATGTTGAGCATTTTTTCATGTTTGTTGGCCATTCTTCTGTCTTCTTTAGAAAAGTTTCTGTTCAAGTCCTTTGCCCACTTTTTAATAGGGTTATTTGATTTTTTCTTGCCGATTTTCGTGAGTTCTAAGCAGGACCCACACCTTTCACCTTTCACAAAAATCAACTCACGCTGGATAACAGACTTAAACCTAAGGTATGAAACTATTAGAATTCTAGAGGAAAATGTTGGAAACACTCTCCTAGATATTGCCCTAGGCAAAGAGTTTATGAAGAAGTCCCCAAAGGCAATCACAGCATCAACAAAAATAAATAAATGGGACATGATCAAACTAAAAAGCTTCTGCACAGCCAAAGAAACAGCCATGAAAGTAAACAGACAACCTACAGAATGGGAGAAAATGTTTGCATCCTACGCATCTGATAAGGGGCTGATAACTAGAATATACTAATAACTTACGAAAATCGGCATTCCTGTTTTTAATTGAAGATTGGTAGATTTCAGAACATGGAAAGAGGAATTATATCCTCTTCTCTTGTCAATCATTGATACATCAGGGTTAATGAGACTTTGTTCATTTGTTTGTTTGTCTTATTTTGAGACAAAGTCTCCCTCTATTGCCTAGAGTGGATTCCAATGGCATCATATAGATTGCTGCAAACTCAAACTCCTGGGCTCACACGATCTTCCTACTTCAGCCTCCTGAGTAGCTAGGACTACAGGCAGCAGCATCATGCCCAGTTACTTTTTCTACTTATTTATTTATTAATTTTTTTGTAGAGATAGAGTCTTACTATGTTGCTCAGGCTTGGCTTGGACTCCTGGCCTCAAGAAATCCTTCAGCTTCTCAAAGTGCTAGGATTACCGGCGTGAGCCACCATACCCAGCCAATGAGACTGTTCTTTGGCAAGGGCCTGGACAAGATGGTGGAAGGTATGGAGACCCATGGCACCTGAGGAAAGGCTAGGGTCTGATTACAATTAGAAGACAGAAAACATATTTAGATGGGAGCAGGTAAACTAATCTTGCCGATGTTACAATCTTGCTAAAATTAGCCTTATGAGTTGCTCCAAACTATCTTTCTTAGAGTCCCAGAGTTCTGGGGCTTCTCTGAGGGCTGAAAGGAAGCCAATATATGAATTTGACAAAACTTAGATTGCCCATCCCTTTTTAATGTTAGGCAGAGAAGATCAAATGGATCCAGTAAATATTAGGTAAAACTAACCTCTTCACTAAACGAAAATCAGAGGACAGGCAAAACGGGTCCCATCAATGCTCACAGAACTAGTTAGCAGCCGAGCCTAAGCCCCCAGCTCTTCTTCTTGGACTTTGCACAGTTGCCGATTTTGTTATGTGTGGCAATATATTCAGAGAGATGATAGAGCAACTGCAAAACAAATCCCTTATTGTCAACATGTGTTTTATGTTTACACCCTCCAGAATCTGGCACACACCTAGCACTTGCAATTTTGTACTAAATACATGGATGAGTGGATCTCAAACTGAGTTAAGTCATCCCCACACCAGCCTCTTTCCCCATATTTTCAACTACATTTTCTCTGACTTCTTTTCAGAGTAGAAACATTTTTAACATTTGAACTTGGCATTCTTCATGATGCTGAAAAAAAATTGCTTTAGAGTTATTGGCTATTTCTTTCTCCTATCAATTCCTGCTGAAAATTCTAATCAATATTTAATTTCTAATCAATATGTAAACAAACTTTAAGTAAAAAAAACAAAACAAAAAATACTAGTGTATCTTGCTCAGTTCGTCTTTCAAAAATATTAATTGAATTTATATTCTTTGCAGATTGTAGTGTTGAGGGTTACAGAAAACCCTTCAGAATTTAAGATTCACTCAGCAAGGAGATGGTAGCTTGCATAGTATTTATTTGAAATTTATTTGCATCTTTTATCTCCTGCCATCATCCTTTTGGAACTATGATTTACTTGTGGCAAAAATGGATTTTCATTTTTTAAAATTATTACTGAGATTTTTTCCCAAATAGTTTTTGGAAAGCAGCTTTTACATCCTTATTCCTCAAACTGTAGATCAAGGGATTCAACATGGGGATGATGACAGTATAGAACACAGAAGCCCACTTGTCTTGGTCCAGGGAGTAGCTGGATGTTGGCCTCAGGTACATAAACATGACTGTGCCATAGAAAAGTGTGACGCCTGTCAGGTGAGACCCACAGGTGGAGAATGCCTTCAGACGGCCTTCACCTGAGCGTATTCTGATGATTGCAACAAGAATGAAGGCATACGAGATGAAGATGATGAGTATGGTACTGAATTCAATGAAGCCACACAGACTAAAGAGCAAGATCTCACTGATGTAGGTGTCTGAGCAAGAGAGGGCCAACAATGGTGGAATTTCACAGAAGAAATGGTTGATGATATTGGAGCTACAGTAACTCAGGCTGAAGGTGAGGGACGTGTGGGCTATTAAACTCACTAGACCAGCCAGGTAAGAGCCCAGCATGAGAGCCAAGCAGACCCGCTTGGACATGAGGGTGCTGTAGTGGAGGGGCCGGCAGATGGCCACAAAACGATCATAGGCCATGGCAGCCAGGACATAGCACTCAGCGTCCACAAAACCTACAAAGAAAGCAAACTGGGTGGCACAGCTAGAGAAGGAAATAACTTTGTGCTTTGTTAACAAGTCAGCCAGCATCCTGGGGGCAATGGCTGTGGAGTAGCCCAGGTCGACAAAGGAGAGATTGCAGAGGAAAAAATACATGGGTGTGTGCAGCTGAGTGTCTGTTATAATCAGGATAATCATACCCACATTCCCCACTACATTGACCAGGTAGACAACAAGGAAGACCACAAAGAAGATGATCTGCAGCTGAGGGTCCTGTGTGATGCCCATAAAGATAAACTCAGTCACCACTGAGTGGTTTTCTTTATCCATTGTTCCAATTGTATGTGTACTTGGGTTTGGTTTATCGATGAATGTAGTAAATTCACTGTCTCAGAAAATATTCAAACTAAAGATAAGCAATCATATGTCAGAGATATAAAAAATGGATATATTTCTACAATAAATGAAGGCTTTTTGGGGGGGTGATTCTTAAAAGTCCTTCCACTAATTAGATTCTATGACTAATAATAGAATAACTCTTCTGCTCATGCCCAGTTACAACAGGAGAAGACATTAGCTTTTTGGGAATGGCAAGTTCCACTTCTTCAATGACCTGTTGCTCTGAAGTCATTTATCACAGGGTACCAGATGTTTGACCTGGTCTGTACAATTACCCATCACATTAAGTAAAGAAAAGAAGGTTTGATAGTTCTTTCATTCTTTCTAAAACAGAGAAATTATAAATAAAGATAAACATTAATTTTCATTCCAGGTGAACATAGATAAGAAAACAAATGATCCAAGGATCTCAAAGTATAACACATCATATATACATACAGAAAGTAAAATACTTAGAGCAGAAAGTCAGAAATATAAGAAAAGGCAGTAGAAAATAATAACTTTTTAAAAGCCAGAAGTTACTATTTACTATATACCACAATTTATTGAATGCTTTAAATGTGTTACATAATTTCATCCTCATAACTCTATAAAGCAGGTACCATTGCCACTTATATCTGAAAAAAACAAGGCTAGATATTAAGTAACCTTAACAAAGTCAATAGCCAGTAAATAACACAGCAGACTCTGTGTTAGAGTCTGCCTGACTCTAGGGTCCATTTCACTTTGTTGCCTTCTGATGTTATATGTGCTTTGATAGAATTTAAATCCCTATTTTTGCACCTGTTTGTTTTTCTTGTCCTGTCAATCATGGGTGGGCACAGAATTAGTCCTTTGGTTTCACTGATCTTAAGAAGCATTCAGGGTGAGACATGGGGCATAATCAGGGTGAAGACACAGCTGTGTCTTTGGACAATTTTATTCCTTAACCAGAAGCTATTGTAGAGTTCAGCTCAGAGTTAAGATTCAAAGATGCCTCACTCAGGGGGGAATAGAGAGAGTGTTATCCAACTCAATGATTAGATAGGAACATGCTTTTGTTAGGCTTTTTTGTTGGATGAATATCTGATCAATTGCAGAATTTTAAGAGGGCAGTGGGTAAAACCAAATCCATTTAAACCAAACTAAAATAAAAGACAAAGTAATTTAGAAATAAGTAGCTGAATAGTACTCCATGGTATACATACACCACATTTGATTAGTCCACTAAAAAAAAATGGTGACCTAGCACCTCTTCTATTATCCTGGATAGAGCTGGAACCCATTCTACTAAGTGAAGTATCACAAGAATGGAGAAACAAGTGCCACATGTACTCACCATCATATTGGTATTAACTGGTCAACACTTAAGTGTACATATAGTAATAACATTTATCGGGTGTTGGGCAGATGAGAGGGGGGAAGAGGGAATGGGCATGTACACACTTAATGGGTGTGGTGCATACCGTTTGGGGGATCGACACGCTTGAAGTTCTGACTTGGGCAGGGTAAAGACAATATATGTAACCTAAATATTTGTACCTCTGTAATATGCTGAAATAATTTTTTTTAAAAAAGAAAGAAAAGAAAGAAGTAGCATCCTCTACCTAAACCTAAAGGAAAAAGAACAGACTATACCTTCTTTAATTCATTTGCTGTTTAAAAAATAAGAGACAGCAGAATAGTACTATGTGTCTTTCATGTGGTTGTGGACATTAGTAAGATTATCCTAAATACTAGGATTGAAAAATGATAGAAAACGTTCCTTCATCTTTCAATTTCCACATAGACTATAATCAACAACAAAAAGAGTCTCTAATAATCTGATATATTGTCTCAAAAGTTAATAGTTTGTAGTTATATCTATTCCTGTTCAATAGATGCTTAATATGCTATGTATGTGTGAATCATTGCATACATTATGTCTACTAGAAAACAGAGAATAAAAAGATGTGATTGGGAGAAATTATTTGAAAACATATATATGAAAACATAAAGAAATTGTATCCATACATCTACTTGAAATTGCTTAAAGAAAAAAAAAAAAAAAAAAAAAAAAAAAAAAAAAAAAAAAAAAAAAAGAAATTGTATCCATAGTATATAAAGAAATTTTAAGACTCAGTAATAATAAATCAAACAGTCCAATAAGAATAGCCAAAGATTTCAAGATACTTACTGAAGAAGATATATGAATAGCAAATAAATGCATGAAAAACCCTCAAATATTCATACTAAAGAAATGCAAATTAAAATCACAATGAAATATTACTACTAGATACTAAAATTTAATATTTATTGAAATGGTGAAAATTTTAAAACTCTGACCATACTAAGTGTTGACAAGGAAGTGGAGGAATTAAAACTTCCATCATTGTTGGCAGGCATGAAAAATAGTACAGTCACTTTGGAAAACACTTTGGAAGTTTCTTATAAAATCAAACATGTACATAGTACATTTATGATGCAGTTTTTTTAAACAAAAATTCTGGATACAACCTAAATATCCATCTGTGGATGACAGGATAAATAATTTGTGGTATGTCCATAAAATGGAATACCTCTCAACAATGAAAAGAAACAGATTATTGATACATGTATTAATAACATGATAGATGGATTTCAAAATAATCAGGCTGAGAGAAAAAACAAGAGATAAAAAGAGTATATCTTCCATGATTCCATTTGTAAAAATCTAGAAAATGCAGGATAATCAATGCTGACAGAAAGCAGATCACTGATTTCCCAGGTAGAGGTGTGTAAAGAGGAGCAGGAGGGAGGGGGTACTGAGAGGCATGAGGAAGCATCTGGGGATGACGGATTAGTTTACTCTCTTGATGATGATGATGGTTTCAAGGATGTATACATACATTAAAACATAGAATTTTATACTTTAAATATATTCGAATCATTGTAGGTCAGTTATACCTCAATAAAGCTGTTAAAAGTAAGAGTACTTGCTGCTATTCAGCTCAGCTAATTCTCAGTACATGTGAATTCAGATATCACTTCAGAGGTTAGGTTGATGAGGAAACAAAATCCTGGGCTGAGAGGACATGCAAAGTCACACTGTGAGTTAGTTGCAGAGTTAATCATTGAATCTGGACCATAGAGTGCTGTGTTCATTTTATCCTACTGCTTCATGTAGCAAGTTGAAAATAACCCATCAGGAAAAATGAAAACAAAACAAAACAAACAAAAAAAAAGAGAGTGATCAATCATTTGTCAGTGTGTTCATTCACTTTAGCAAGAGAGAAATAATCCTATTGTTGAAAACGGAAGGACCCATTTGGCTGACTTTATAATTTTATAGATGAGGAAGCAGATCAAGACACCAATCATTCAAATGCAGAGCAACACCACACTGCAGTGTTTAGAGGAATAGGAGATACCTTGAAGAACGCAGCACCAGCCATGAGCACTCTACTCTGCAGCTGGGTATGTGTCAGTCAAGTAATTTCACTCTACTGGAAAATGTGATTAGAAAACTATTCTCTCCTCCATTATAGATTCCAGGCAATGTATGAGAAGCTGCTTCACTAATCATAAATCACCCTGCCTGTTCTCTTTTATGCTGAATGGACAAATCCAGGCTTTACCATTTACTACTAATAATTCCCAGCACAATACTCATCTTCTTGAAGTCATAGCGTTTCATCTGTTAATTGTGGTTAATAATGCCTACCTTAATAACTTCCTGTAAAAATGGGTTAGAATATATACAAAGTGCTGAGTTCAGCGACTGTCTTGTGCTAAGTGCTTAATGGTTTGGTCATTGAGTTTAAGTGTAGACATTTCAATTCAGTAGATGAGTATGTATTGGTAACTCCTAGAAAAAAAATGTTCAGTGATTATTCTATAGAGACTGTGTATCATGAACTGCCTTAACCTTTAGGGAGACATGATTTTAATTCTATAGTACTTCCATTAAGTAATAAATCACACAAAGATGAAGCTACAATATTCAAAATCAGGGCTTGACTAAGAAAAAAGGAAAGAAAACCTTTGCACTTTTTTTGTGAGTCTCATGTAGCTAAAGCATAGCCCTTCTGACTTGAAGAAATGGTAGAATATTGAGTAAATAAGCAGATTCCTTTGTTAACAATAAACAATTATTTAATGATACACCAGCAAAAGTTTTATCTTAAGAAAGCAAATACAGGAAAATATATTTTATTTTAATTTTTTTCCAGTACTCCCACTTCTGGGTGCATATCTAATTTTATTTCAATAAAATTACTAAATCAAACAGTTTTTCTTAATAAGAAATAGCTGGAGGAAATGTCTGATTTTAGTAACCTGATGTAAAACTGAAATGCACATATTTTTGTTGCAAAAATAGGTTAGTTATTGATGTTCTCTGCTAGTCCATTATTAATTCATAGCATGTTCATTAATAGTTAAGCTATTATCTTTAGTTAGAAAATTATATAGAAGAAACTTAATAAATGTCCTAATTGTTTTTCTTTGTCCTTGCAATTAGCCATCATAACTTGAATTCTCCATTAACGTACATTTGTATAAATGTATATTAGTACGCTAACACTGTAGTTCTATTAGTATATTAGTAAACAAGATAGCTGATGTTTCTACTCCCATATAAGAAACATTCTGTTTAGGAAAGCTTTCTCATAATAAAATTTTCTATAGAATTAATTCATGCAATGGTAAGATTGTGTGTTATTATGATGTATAGTATTCTGTAGTGTAAGCTTTCTTTTTAAATTTATTTTTATTTTTTTATTTCAGCATATTATGGGGGTAAAAATGTGAAGGTTACATATATTGCCTTTGCCACCCCTCCCCCTGAGTCAGAACTCTAAGGGTGACCATCCCCCAGACAGTGTGCCTCGCACTCAGGAAAATATATTTTAGATTTCTATGTATCACCTGTTTTTCAAGCTCATAGGAAAAGAATACTGGAGTAAAGTTCTGGAGATCCTGGTTATAGTCCTATATCTTTTTTTAAATAA